AGTTTCCCTAATCTGCCTTTGGTTTCCGTGCCGAAGTGAGAGCTGAGGGCCTGGTGACTGGGTGGGTTTTCCATAACATAAACCAGCTTTTGGAAATTTGGCTCCAGGCTCTTCTCAGGGCTGGCCCCAGGTGACTGTAATCAGTCACGACTTGTGTTCAGCCTGGAGATGGTAAATGCCTTGAGCCTGAGAATCACAGAAAGAAGCCTCTGTTTGTTCAGGTGTAAAATGTGTCTGCAGCCTCCTTGTCCTGATTTGTCACATTATCACTTGCAGCTTCCAGTGAAGCTAGTGGCAGTTATCCAAAAATCAGGTCATGCTATCTCTGAATGGTATTTTGGATTCCTAGTTATTTACAGAATATTCCGATGCAGAGTGTGCACAGAGCCATGGGTTCCTGAAATAAGCCATGGGAGAGCACCGACAAATTATCTTTTTGTAATAGGCACAAACTACTGAAACTCAGCCCAAAGCAGAAGGCCAGTACAAAGCATTTGCATCGCTTCAATTCCAAAGCAGCCTGGTGCTCTGAGATCCACAAAGCACTTAAATCATGTTACTTTTTTTCTACGGCCCTGGGAGGTAGAGAAATGCTAGAGGAATTGAGGAACTGAGCAAGCAGAGCAGACCCAAGTCTTCAAATTGATCAGTAATTCTGAATAATCAACTTCACGGTTGTCAGCTTTGGTTTCCCAAACCTGTTCTCCGGAAGGGGTTAGCAGTAAGCCTGCAGAAGATGGAAACACCTTGTGCTTTAGCACCTCTGGGAAGAAAATGCATCCAAAAATGTAAATCAGAGCAAGGGGCCGCTGGGGTTTGTGTGTGCAGGAGCAGTGCCCGTGGTGCCTGTACAGTGAAGGAGGCTCAGGCGTGGGGAGAACACACCGTTGCTCCAACTGAGCCTCCAGCCCGAGTAGCCAACCTCTTCTTCCTTCTGCAAGCCTTTGTGGAGTTACCCCTGCACAGAAATTACCTGATTCTTTCCATGAACCAGAGGAAATCCACATATTTAATCGTCAGGGAAAACTCAGCTTCGCGTGGATGCGTGAGACATCCGTGTACCTCCCCTCACACACCCGCACACGTGTGGGTACTGCGTGTAGATGTAACCCCAGTGCATAAAGCCCTTCCCTCCCCTCCCTCCTTTGCCCTTTCCTGCAGCTTGTCCCTGACATCCCGCTGTTGGAACAGGACAGCGCTGCTGGACGCGGGTCTCCTTCCCTCGCGCCCCACCAACAAAACCTCTTTATGAGTGAAATAGATGCCTTGTGTGTGCAGGACTCCTGGCATTTTGGGCAGCGTAGCTGGAGCCAGGCGAGGCAAACGTTAGGAGCTGTTTGCTGAGTGCATTTATTGCCTTTGCATAATTTATGAGCTGGAGGGGTTTGACCATCATTCGTCTCTGCCAGAGGCTGGCACGGAGGGCTCTGGAGGATGGAGCTGTAAATTGGATGGCGCGCTCCTGCTGAGCTCCCAGCAAAGTCCCCGGGTCAGTATGGGAATTTAATACCAGGAAGGGAACTGTTCTCTCAGAGTGCCATGTGGGCCTCTCCGTGCAGCAGAGGCTTTTTTGGCAGCCACAGTGACTGGCCAACCCGCGGAGCTGTCAGTCACTGGGCATGTTGCGGAGGGAGCCGGAGCATTTTTAATCGGCTTGGCATCCGTGCTGCTTCCATAATGGACACCAGTAGGTCTCAGTCCTTCGCCATATGCTTAACTCTGGAGACAAGGTGCTTCTGGGTATAGCAGTAATTATTTGATGCGGAATTAAGCAGACCTTGAAATTAGAACTGGACTGTCGGAAAGCAGGAGGCTTAACACTTTGATGGAAATAACTTCCCACCGACACCGCTCCGTGCGCTTTCTCTGCAGATCCGCTCGGATGCGGGTAACTGTTCTGCTGGCAAATTCAGATGTCACTGCTGGCAAGCACTCCTCTCCCCAAGCACCTCCACACTGCAGAAAACACAAAACCCTGAGCTCTTTCCAAGCTTATGAGTCGGGAAAAGCTTAATGCACAGCGGAGGAGAGATTCCTTAAAGCGGGCAAAAGCTGGTGGGGGAAGGAGAGGCTGCGGAGCAGGGTGACCACAGCGGGGTCACTGGACACGTGCCCATGTGTCCCAGCTGTGTTAAAACCTTCTGAACCTGAGAGAAGGGAATCATTCTTGTCTGCTTCTATTCACTTTTTACCCCCTTTCTTTCTCTTTGGGACTCAAGTATTGCAATCGGGGCTTGTGTTGGAGTTTGTCAGGGGGGTGGGCAAGAAACACAAGCTAATGGAGCAGTTGGTTCTGGGCTCCCTGTTTTGAAACACAGATGTTGTGTCATACATTTAAATGCATCCCAACATATAGATCAATGTGGGGACCCCGAAATCTTGGACCTCCCTCTGATGACCCGTGTTCTTCTCCCTTACTAGAACAACCCGGGTTCTTTCCAACACGCACGACGTGTCGAGATTCTCCACGCAGGTTGAAGTAGGATTGCAAATTGAGGAAAGGCTGGGAGGGGACAACAGGTAGATTAAATTATCCCAGCAATTTTGCACTTCCTTGTGATCCAGGTCCTGTCTGTGGTGGGTGTTATGAGATCCAGGGAGGGACTCTTTGTCAGGAAGTGTAGTGACAGGACAAAGGGTAATGGTTTTAAACTGAAAGAGGGAAGATTTAGATGAGATCTCAGGAAGAAATTCTTCACTATGAAGGGTGTGAGAGCCTGGCCCAGGTTGCCCAGAGAAGCTGTGGCTGCCCTATCCCTGGAGGGGTTCAAGGCCAGGTTGGAGGGGACTTGGAGCAACCTGGTGTGGTGGGAGGTGTCCCTGCCCAGGGCAGGGGGTTGGAACTGGATGATCTTTAAGGTCCCTTCCAACCTGAACCATTCTATGATTCAATGATTCTATGATTCTAACCACTGTAACCAAGAGGTAGCAGAAAGTGCTGTAGCCCAAAAGCTGAATTTTTCCAACAGCTGTAAAATAGAGATAGAAAATGGGAATTCTTTGTCGCATGCTGTGATCTTCGTGGATGAAAAGCCATGTGTGTGTTTGCTCATTTATCAATGTAGGGCCTTGCTTTGCAAACACGTTTTGGAAACATTTGCGCCTCATACCAAAATCTCATGCATGTGGTCGTGCTGAAGTCAAAAATACATAATATTTATCGGGTAAGAGTGTCAGTACTTTATATACACACTATACTGTTCTAGACATGTGCAGTTTTCCTTTTATCAGTTTAACTACACTCTCTTCATTAACTTGATCATTGTGTGAGGCTTTCAGATTGCCAGCTGTAACTGTCTCATATCTTCATGTTCCATCTCATTTGTTTGTTACCAGAGTATTTAGGTGCAACTAGTGCTATATATATCATTTCCGTTATTAAATAAATGTCACTTTCATTTCTGTTTGGAATTATCTGAAACAGATTGTAGTTTTATCTCATTTTTGCTTCATTTTAAGTTATGTGGAAGACACCTAGAAATAGTCTGTAGCTTTAATTTGTTACTGTGTAGCTTGTTGGTGTGGGGAAGGCACCTTCTCACCCCCTGTGCTGATGAAGATGAGGAAAAAGCCAGTGAAACAGAAAAGTTATAGTTAAAGAAGAGACAGATGACTTGATTTGTGCAAATCCAATGCAGACATTTGTGGGTGTATTTGGCTGCGTCTATTCGCATTCCGCCGTGTAGTTAACCTTTGGGATTCACGAAGTATAACTGATTTCACCACAATTTGGTTATCTTATAGAAATACTCAAAGACACATTAAACACAAATGCAGAGAGGGCTGAAGTGGCCGCTGCGGTGAGGTGACACGGGCGGCCGGTCCCTGATGGTGTGGGGATCTTACACTTCCCTTCAAAACATCTGCCATTGTGTCTCAGAGGTGTGGGTTCGTCCCTGAGAGAGAGACAGTCCAGTCCTTTAGAATATAAAACTGGAGTTTAAAAAAAACCCCACAACCCAGAAGAAGGTGTTTGCCTCATTCTTCTGCTGTGGAGGAAGCCAAGTGGGACCACTCCATCGTTACCTCCATTAGCTGGGGTGAGTCAAACCTGGGTCTAAGACAGCCGGGTGCCAGTCAGTCCTATTGCCCTTGCAGTCCTATTTCCAGCACAGTTTTGTACTTCTAGCAAATGTGGTTTGGGTTTCTGATGCTTATCTGTGCTGAAGCTTGATTCATCTAGTCCTGTTGTATTTCTACAGTAGTAACAGTTATTAAAAAATTGAGCAATGGCACTTGATAAATAGCGAAACCCACTGGTGTTACTGGTCAGCTTTTTATAGTATTGTAATTGTTTGCCGTGAAACCTGGGCTACTCTTGAAGTATAGAGAACCTCAATGGTCAATTAATTTGGGATGCTCTTGCCTGTGCTGTGATCTCTGAATTCTTCAGTTCAGCACCTGTGAGCAAAGCCACAGAGTGATCCCAACCAGTCCTGGAGTAAAATGGTCACCTCGCAGATGCTCCTCTTCTGGGGCAGGCAAACCGAAGCCATTCCATACCCTGCCCCCAAGCAGTCCTGGAGTAAAATGGTCACCTCGGAGATGCTCCTCTTCTGGGGCAGGCAAACCGAAGCCATTCCATACCCTGCTGTCCCAACAGCCTGGGAAGCCGTGTGTTGGCAGGCCGTATGAGAAAGACTGTCCCTCAAAAGAAAACAAAACAGCCCTCTAATATTGGTTTTCTCCTTCCCTGATCCAGTTTTGGATCCTAAACGTGCTCATGCACCATCAGCTCCTGTCCGTGTGAGTGCAGTAGCAGAGGGCATCGCAAAGGGCTTTTGTTCTTTTCAGTGCAGTCAAACCTACAAATGCATTGTCTGCAACTGCAGCACGAGGGGAAATTCCCTCCCGTACAGTAACAGAGCTTTTTCCTAAAGGTACCAGATTCGATGCCATAGGGTTTATGAGCGTTTCAACCATATTTTTCATAGAAATCTTTCATTTTTTTGCTGTAGCAAGTTTGTCTTACCTGTTCTTTTTTCCTTTTTGTGTTTCAGTGTGACAGCGACAGTGATCAAGAAGAAAAGGTAAGAAAGGAAATCAATACGGGAGCAAAAATAATTTGTTGGATTCACTTATTCCTGTTATTCTGTTATTTATTCAAAGTTTCTTTTTGGATTGGTCTAAAGTGTCTCTATACAAAGAAAAGACTTTGTTTCCTGTAATTTAATTTTGGACTAGACCTCCAAGGAAAGAGAATTCTAATGAATATTTTGGAGGCTACAAAATTCATCTTCAAGCACATTGATGCCACGGTTTGTGTGGGTTGTTTATGAACACCAGTCTCAGTGCCAGCCCTTTCTATGGCTACATTTCCCCCTGGGAAGTTCTAACAGGAACCAAATATATTTGTAACCCTCACATTTGCACCATTTAACGGGTTTTTAACCACTGTTATCACCTGTTTTGCTCCTCTGCAAGCAAGGATCTTCAAAGTCATATTGAAATGTTATGGTTGAGATATATATTTTTTTAGAAATAAAATTTGGGAACTGTATATTAAGTCAAGACTTTCTGATAATTATCTCAGTCACTGTGGGTTTCTGAGTGGAAAAAGGGAAGAATGTCATAAAATGAGGCACTGATCTCTAATGCTTTTTATTATTTGGAAGGCTAATAGTAATGGAGAACTGCTACTCACACTGATCCACGTTTTTATGTCTTATGTTGTGAACAGACTAACATCTACCTTTCTTCTTTGGCAAAAATGAAATAATAATTGCAGAAAAACTGGTCTAATTTCTTTCTTTCCAGGTTGGATTTTGTGAGATTCATTTGTATGTTGAGCCTTAAGGGATGTTTTGATAATGTAATCACTTTTGCCTCCTCTTTCACTGGGTAAATTGAGGGGTGGGAGTTGGGGGAGGGTAAAATAATGTCAGAAAACATCATTCATATGATAACATGGAATTGTTTAGAGTTTCACGAGTGGTTCTGTTAACTGGCTCCAAGTCAAGCCAAGAAGAGGAGAGATGACCATGCTGGTGTGCAGCTTTTACAACAGAAAAGACTAAGTAAGCTGTAAAATCCACAAGGAAACAATGAATACAGAAATAGCCTTTCATTAATTTAATCTGTTTTCTACAGGACTTTGTAGCAGGAAGCAGAGGAAATTTTCAAACCGCCAAAGCTTTGCCCTTCAGCTTTTTCAGTAATTTCCCAAGCAGAGGTTTTTTTTTTTTTCCTCAAGTTTCTTAATAATTTGCTAACTATGTTAAAGAACCACTGTTTACTTTGCACTGCAGTGATTTCCCTTTCATAAGGGAACTAATCACTGGAGTTAATCAGTGTGACAACAGAAAGGGGAGGTTTTGTTGGGTTTTTGCACAGAATATTAACCTGCACTTTTAGATATGAATTTTTAATGCATTACCATTACATTCCATCCTGTGAAGTGATTATTCATTTTCAGGATGTTCCTTATGCAGTGGAAGATGATAAACTGAATTTCAGCTCCTATGTTTATGGCACCCAGAACTAGAAGTGTAATTTCCTGCCACTGCTGCGTTGACGGAGCTAAACCTCCACCAGTTTTATGGTATTTTTCTCTTAGAGCGTGCCAATATAAAAAGGCAGAGAGGCAGGTTTTTGGGGTGGTGGTGCTGTGCTGCTTCAGGGTAGTTTCTGCAACACAACGGATGAGAGACTCGAGATTGTACCTCACACAGAATATCCCAGCGCTTGTGTGGGAAGGATTTAAAATCCAGATGTGTGTTTCATCTCTGTGATCTATATTTTGTCTTCCCTCTAATGAAATGAGATTAAGTGCAGATCCAAATATCCCTAATAATTTAGTGCTTTTCAAATCCCAGAACCAGACCCAGCTTTGAGTTTTATCGCTCAGGCCCAACTCTGGAAGATGACAGCTAACCCTGGTGTATTTATTCAGCCTGCGCCGGCAGCCGAGGCAAAGATCTAAAGGCCTTGTTCTGCTGTTAATTTGAATTCAGCATATGTAGCCTGTTATAAAATGCGAGACATCATCATTTGAGCAGGTCAAGCATATTCAGATGAAGACAAATGGTGCTTATTTGATTTTCTTAAAATCAGGAAATGAAAAAAGTGCTCTCTGGAGAAATCATGTTCTGCCTGACTTAGATGATAGACCAAGGCATGTACCCCAGATAAGAACAGGCGCTCGTCTTGCGGTTTTTATCTCTGAAGGACGGTCGGGACTGTCAGCTCGCTGACATGTGCATTATCCATGTCATTTTAAACAAAGTGACCTGTAGAAAAGTGCACTCTGCCGTGACATGATAATGGGCTGTTGGATGACAGGTAAAGTACACACTATAAAGGAGGCTGTGCGTTATTCCTTTGTTTAACTGACAAGTAGAAACTTCTTTTCTTCAGACAGGCAGGATCTTTTAGATCTCTTTCAATAGGACCCAGAAGATTTTGAATTCCTACTTTAAATAAAATAACATTTTTAGGACCAGAAATTCCTGTGAGCAGAAGGCACTGGGAGAAGTGAGGGTGCCAAACCTCTTGTGCGAGAGGTGGATTGTTTCACAAACAGTGCTCAGCATCCTCGGTTCTCATTAATAACCACCGGAGCTGAGGGTACGCAGTAGGATTAGAAGTTTTTAAGATCCTTGACCCAAATGTCTTATCTCATGATGAGGATATTCGCCTCCATCTATGGAGCTGTTCTAGGAGCAAATTGTGGGTTGCTCTTGGTCGGGCCCAGGTCAATGTATCCCAAGGACTGTGGAGCTGTTCTCTTCCCACCAGGAGTGTCTTTCCCTGCTGTTTCCCTGAGGTGTTTCCCTGAGGTGATCTGCTGTACTTTAGGACCATCTCTGGCAGATTTTGATATCCTAAAGCGTGCAGAATGTATGGTATATTGCTGCAGATGAATTCTGTATTTGATGTTCAGAAAATGGAAACCATTTTTCTTCATTTAGGATCTCTGAGGGCAAACCCACAGTGTGCCTGAGAAATAAGAGATCCAGGAGAGGTAGAAATAATGCAAGACAGGTACATATTTCTACTAGAATAAATAAGACCTGGAATCCAGAAAGATAGAGCAGTGCCTTTGAATAAAAGATGGCAGATCAGTGTGATGAAAGGTGTGTGACAGCTGGAGGTGGCTGAAAGACAAGCGGGTTCAAGCATGACTCGATGGACCACGGTAACGTAGGAGAAGGCAGGAAGGAGCAGGGAGTGGGCAGCTGAGGAGCAGATGACTGCTGAGTGGTGACAGAGTAGGAAAAGTAATGTCTCCTGGGCTGTTAGTATTATTTTTTCCCCCACTTGGATATGTATCTATCTGGCTGTGTAAATCACTGTTGATATCTGATCTCTATTAGGTGATGGCTCTGCCTCCAATCCATCTTCCCAAGCCTTTAATTGGGAGCCGACAGACAGAGTCACTTTCTGTCTATGTCTGCCCTCAAATGAGACATTTCTCCAGAGGTTTCTCTGGAAGAAGAAACAAGAATATTTAATTGAAAAATGATGCAGCCCCTGCTTAGCAGTGCTGTAGCTAAGGCTGTGTCAGCATCTCAGTTTTAAATGACATGTTTTGGGTGGATAATTTATCTATTTATATAGATTCATGCTCCTTCATTCCAATTTGGCACACAGTCCTGGACCGGAGCATTCAAAGTGGGCATTTTGCTCTCCTGTTGCTGCACAACCTGAAGAGGTGGCAAGCACATCTGTGGAGGGACAGTGTATTTGGATGACTTGCATCAGAATGTGAAGCACTAATTCTTAGAGAGATGTCATTTTCCATCCTGGGATCCTTTCAGCAGATGCCACTGGGATTTCTTACTGAATCAGAAACAAGTATGGATCCCAGGGGAACTGAGATTTTCTCCATTAAAAAGTCTGTCAGTCTTACTCTTTGAGCAGGTCTCCAGAGCTGATAATCTAAAATTAGGGCAAGCTATTGCACAGCTGACAAATTTAAGTGCAACTGTATTATCCTCTGATAGCTAGATACAATCTTGAAAATTATACCCGTGGTAATTAATACAATATTAAAAACATTAAGTGCAAACACATAGTTCGTCTTCTGGAAATAAAAGGGAGTCCTGTTTTGAAAAGATGTACAAACAGCTTTGATAAGGAAGCTGAGTGCCATAGATGAGGTAGGGAGTAAGGTCCTTTTTTATTCGCCATCTCTACCATTTCCTCTCACCACTCATTATAATTAGACTGATTTTAAAATTAAGGCTCAATTTGAGGCACTTTAGTGATTTTTCACTTGTTAGGAAAACATTTCATTGATCAAGGGGGACTGCTTTGCAATGTACACAGTTACTTCTGCCTGATTTGAGAGGAGAAGAGCCTGCTTCTTACTTGAATTTTATCCGACTTCGATAGGATATACAACTTAAAAAAATTCCTGCAATCCATGACTTAATTCTGTGTATATCTTAGTGGTACCCAATCAGTTCTCTCTTGATGAGGCTCTTGGATCCCATTAAAATGGGTTCTTCCAGCGCCCAGGAGTGGCAGGTTATGGCTCCAGGTCAAGCACTGCCCAGCGTTCCTGGTGAGACCGGCTTGGCTTTTGGTGGGCTTTGTGTAGGATGTGAAGGGAGGACAGAGCTCGATCAAACTGGTGGCTAAATTTGCAGAGCATCGTTATATGGTCATTAGGGAAGAATAACAAGGCTTCCCCCAGTTGGGAGGGGACTGGGACGGGTGGGAGTTGTGCTTGCTGAAGAAGCCTGTGCTGGTGGGAACGTGTTGCTTGGGAGACTTTGGTTCTTTCCCTTGAGGGCCATTGGAAGCACCATGAGAGCTGAAGAATGACACTTCTTGCATCAGAATATTTGTATTGATAATGCTAATACATTCGGTTGCATATAAACCAACCACGAACTGAAGAACATGACATGGAAAAATATCATCAGTCACTCTGGTGTACTCAGATAAAAGGAATGGTTATTTGTGTGTGTCTGTACATACACAGAAGCGTTCACACATGCACTCTGTGTGTAATTCTGAAGTGCTTTTGGACAATTATTTTGTGTATGGCCTTTGGAGAGAGATTTTGGAGTAGTATTTTGGC